GGTTTGGGTTTAGGGTTTAGGGGAGCGGTTTCCTTAGCTTGCTTGTAATGGCCAGAGGTCCTTGAGATAGGCCTTCCGGTTGACGTGCATGAGTCATAGCAGAAAGGGTCAAGACTTGTAATTATCATGAATATGGCTATGATGATCGCTACCGTGTTGCCTTGGTAAGAAGCAAGGCATAGAATTATCAGACGATTCATGCCAATAAGCCTGTGATTGACTGTGATTATTGATGCTGCCCCGGTTACCATTTGGGCAAAACGTTGGTCTTTTTGGGGAACCCTACATTTAGGAGCCCAGAAGGACATAAGCATAAGCATTTTACAGGGATATCCCTACCTTATTGGGCTTCATCATAAGGGGGTTTATATGGGATATCCCTATCCTAATTTTTCTTATGTGCTTTTGGGGGACCCTATACATAGACTGTGTAATTCTGTTCTTAGCACGGCACCTCAAAGTTTGGAGCCCAAGAGAGACCCGAACTTAGACCACCGGTTTAGGGTTTAGGGCATTTCGCTTGAGCCAGCGGCGCAAATCGTGAACCATTAAGGGTTCTACTCAAGAGTAGAGTAGAGAAAGTAAGCTTCAACATTTTTTTTGGGGGTGGGGTACGTTACTCCCTATATAACCTTACTTGAACTAACGTTTAGTTCCCCTAGGATGCTGAACAAGTAGCTTTATAAGGGTCCAAGAGAGGTATGACAAGATGGGGGTCCTAAGACTCAGCAATAAGATCCCCATATAGTCCTGAAGATCCCCTAAACCCCGAAACCCTAAACCCTAAACCCCTAAACCCTAAACCCTAAACCCCTAAACCCCAAAGCCCTAAACCCCTAAACCCTAGACCCCCCAAACCCTAAACCTCCGAAGCCCTACTGCAGTCATTAGGGCTCCTAGATCAAACCTGTTCGTAGCTTTAAAGAACTCGTATAGAACCCCTCGTTGCACCCTAAACCCAGAAGAGGCCTTAAACCATACGTAGGCCTTTTAACCCCCAACCCGTAAACCCGAAAAGCCCTAAACCCAGAACCCAGTCTAAACCCGAATATTCGGGGCCTTAATAAGTACCTCTACGATTTTGAAGGTTCTTTATCTTGAGCATAGTATAGTATACGTTAATACCTTATTCTAATTACTAAGGCCCCTACATAACTATATGATGGCTCCCTAAACCCTAAACCCTAAACCCTAAACCACTTCAGGGCGTTACCACCTTCATTCTTGCGGCCTCAGCCCTGCGGTTTAGGGTCCCCAGGGTCTAGGGGATTAGAGTTTATGGGTTCAGGGTTCCGGGTTTAGGGTTTAGGGTTTAGGGTTTAGGGTTTAGGGTTCAGGGTTCCGGGTTTAGGGTTTAAGGTTTTAGGCGCCCTACAAGCCCTGTAAAAGCCTGCAAATGCTGAAGCCATGGAGAGCTCAGGTGTACAAGGAGCTTGACTACGCCACCAACTTTATGGCCAATGGCACCGGTGAGTGGAAAGACTCCGGACTGGGTGAGGCAACGGGGGAGTTACTGTTGATGGACAAAATTCTGCATGACCCAAATATAGTATAGTACCATAAATCCCATAGTTTAGGTATATAAAGTCATGCAGGATTTTGTCCATCAGCCGTAGTTCTGAGGAAGTTAAGCTAAGCGACTATAGACAAGGATAGCACCCATGGAGTTAATGTAGCGGCGTAAATAATTGGAAGAGGGTTTTGGGGGGCTCCTTATTATAATTATAGTATAAAATCCCCAAGCCCTATTCTAATTATTAAGGCCCCTATATTCCCTATATTACCAAATTCCTATCATGGTACCCTAAACTGATTTCCTCAACAAGCAGATCGCCGAGAGGCGGCGGAGCTTCTCAAGGATGCTTCGTTGAAAAGCCTTCAAGCCGGTTTTTGGTGGTTCTGAAGATATTATATATATATATATGTCATTAATATTATATATACATATATATTATATTATGTATATTTTTTATATTTATATTATACATATAGATATATTTCACACTGGAAAGCTTTGGAAGAAGCTCTAGGGGGAAGTCGCAGCCGCGTCCTCCTTGATGCATGAGCAGACATTGCCGTTCGTGAACATGAGGATGATGGGGGATCGGATTCTTCCGTTGTGTGCAGTTGCATGAGCAGCGACGTGCGCTGGCTGTGTGGATCACATGCGACAACGCCCATGACCACGTTGATGAGCATCAGCATGTACGACACCATATGCAGGGTTTAGGGTCTAGGGTTCAAGGACGTTATTTTAAACTGAACGGCACGAAGAAGGGTATCTTTCGTGCTAAGGGAGTACTAGGGAACGGAGCCATTTTGGTAAACTTACCAGCTGTCTCACTCCTAGGCTTTGCGTCGTTGACAGGAGATGTAGCACGTGAGCCATCTCTCACACGTAATACAGAAGCCTAAATGGGTAGTTCCCTACATTAGGGTCCCTTTTAGGGTCCGTTTTATAAGGGTGCCTTAGTATTTGGCGGACCTAAAAAGGGTCCCGAATTTAGAGAACCACCCAAATAATTACAATATTTCGGTTAGGGTTTCGTATTATACATATACTACAAAGGGAGCCCAGAACCCTATCCTAATTATTAAGGGCGCTACACTAGCAGCATCCCGAACCCTCAAAAGGCAAACCGTAGACCTTGCGCCCTAGATCCCAAACCCTGAACCATCCTTAACCTAAACGCCTAAACGTTGAACTACTAAACCGTATATAACGGCCTAAACCCGAAATCATGCGGTGCCCTTCTTGGCTATAGTATAGTATACCCGAAACCCTATCCTAAATATTCATTCCCCTATACTGCAGAGGCTTTAAAGGATCGTTTTGGAATGGGCCGAAATAATTAATACTATTCTGGGGTTCCTTAGTATAATTCTAGCATAATGGGCCTCAAAACCCTATTCTAATTATTAAGGCCCCTACATTATAGAATCTTCCACGGGCTTGATGAAGTTATGACGGCGATATCGGATTTCACAGAAAACTTGCACTTGACAGGCTACCCTAAAGCCTTACGCCGAAAAAACCCTTCGCACCGAACTCCGACATCCCTAATTCCGAAGTCTCCTCCCCCTGTCTTCGAAGTCGAAGTGGAAGGCATTTCGTGCAGCTGTTGCACACCCCAGTCAGATCAACATCATCGACTGGAAGCCGTATGGGTCAGATCCCCGGTCTGAGGGTTTACGAGTTTGTTTTTGGATTCCGGGTTTCAGGCATCGCCGCGGAGCTTTGGCTTTATTCGCCGGTCCATGATGGTTTCAGCGCTTTGTTTGGGCATCGTGCTCGCAATAAGCTCTCTAAGAAATCCGCGTTTCACAGGTTTCCGTTCATACCGAGCATCCCCATCAACCCATCTCCAAGCGAGCGTAATCCCTTTTTGACACACCCTCCCCAAAATCCTAAACCCTTACAGTCGACCCGTCGACCCTGAACCCCCAAACCCCTAAACCCTAAACCCTAAACCCTTAAACTTTACCCTAAGCTCCAGATGCGTGCGCCGGGTCGTTCAGAAGCAGGGTCCCGCTGATAGAGTTAGGATCTGAACTCCTAATCAGCAGTTTAGGGTTTAGGGTTTAGGTTTTAGGGGTTTAGGGTTTAGGGTTTCAGGGTTTAGGGTTTAGGGGTTTAGGGTTTAGGGTTTAGGGCTTAGGGTCCGAAGCCCTAAACCCAAAGCCCTAAACCCGGCCTCACCCGCTCCCACGACCCCCCCCCCCCCTGCGTGGCACAAAAGTTACCCTCAGGCCTAGCTATGGAGCTTTGGCGAGCTTCCTATCCACAGGTATCCTCCAGGACATGCTCGGGGTTTTGGGTTTAGGGTTTGGGGTATAGGGCTTTGGGTTTAGGCTTTAGGCTTTAGGCTTTAGGGCTTCGGGTTTGGGTTTTCGGGTCAGGGTTCAGGATTCATTGCTTTATTAGGGTTTGACGTTCAGGGTGCATGCTCGGTTTAGGGTTCAGGGCTTCAGGGCTTAATTGGTGTGGAAAGTTTAGACCCTATCTTAGTTATTAAGGCCCCTAGATTAGCTTGTAGGGTTTCGAGTTGAGGGCTTTGGTGATCGGCCCATCTCTCTAGAGACATCCGAAAAGGATGGTGGTGATGACGAATCTATGATATCTCGCGTTTAGGGTTTCAGGTGAGAAGGCCCTAAACCCCAAAAACCCTAAACCCTGAACCCCAAAAACCCTAAACCCTGAACCCCAAACCCCAAAAACCCTGAACCCTAAACCCCAAAAACCCTGAGCCCTAAACCCTAAACACCCTAAAAACCCTAAAAACCTTAAAACCCCTGAACCCTAAACAGCAAGCCGGAAGCCTTGAACCCTAAGCCCCGAAGTCGATCTTCACCGCAGGAGGGCGAGTTGCTGGGCGTCTTTTGCACTCAAATGCCGCCGGAGTCGAAGCCAGTGGAAGTTTCGGAGATGGACTCCGATGGGTTCAGGGTTTAGTTTAGGGTTCAGGGTTTTTGGGGGTTTAGGGTTTAGGGATTTTGGGGGTTTAGGGTTTTTGGGGGTTTAGGGTTTAGGGTTTAGGGTCTGGGTTTACGGCGGGTTAGTGTTCCGGGTTTAGGGTTAGGTAGCTTCTATACAGATTCCAATGTGAACTTTATACGGATTTCTAGTCTGGAGTTGCTCCCTAAACCCTAAACTCCTAAACTATATACTATCGGGTTCGTAAGTCTAAGGTTGAAACCATGTGCCACTAGTATGGGCCCTTAACCCTGGGACCCTTATACACCTACTATATACCCTATATGTCCCTTCAAAGTAAGTCCCTAGAAAGGCCGAAGGTTCCATATTAGGGGCCCATACCTCCAACCTTAGAGTAAGAACTGATTACTGGTTCAGGGTTCACGGTTTAGAAGCTTCGTGGTCTGCCAGGACACGGTTTAGGGTTTAGGGTTTAGGGTTTAGGGTTCAGGGTTCACGGTTTAGAAGCTTAGTGGTCTGCCAGGACCCATGGTCCCGGGAGCCACTGTAGGGCTTAGGAGTTTAAGGTTTGAGCTTTTTGGGTATTGGGTTAAGGAGTTTAAGGCTTAAGGCTTAAGGTTTAGCGTTTTTGGCGGGGGTTTGTGGAGGGTTTGGTAAGGTACAGGCTTGTGTCTTGTCTGCCAGACGTTTTACGCGCAGAAAACCCTTAAGCCCTCAGGCCTGAACCCCTACACCCTACACCCTAAGCCCTGTGGTGTTCTTCAAGAGCCCTTCTGACAAAACCCCGCGGACTTGCTTCAGTTCAAGTATCGTATCGTCACGACATCCGAAATTAGGGTCTGGGGACCCCACGTGCATCAGCAGTCTACAGGCAAGCTTCGGTAATATGACGGTCTACTTGCTATCGCCTTATCGTTCTTATATAATGACGGTATGCAACGCCCTATTCTATCCTTTTCCAACTGTTGCTTGGCAGCAGTAACTTCCCTTGATAGACGTATAGTCCGTATAGAATGGCCGTTTATGTATCCGCCATGATTCCCCATGATACAAAAGCCCAACCCTAAACCCTAAACCCTAAACCCTAAACCCTAAACCCTAAACCCTAAACCCTAAACCAACCCTTTATGGCCCCCGCAAGAGCCTTCAGGAGCCCATTTTAGAGAAGGCCGATCAAACCATCCGGGTGGCCGTGGACTACTACAAAACAGGTGCATTGTCAGCCTGGGGCGTGCCTAGAGCCTCCAAAACCCCTTAATTAAGGAATATACCTTAAAATATAATAGGAACCCTAATATGATTTAAGGTATATTCCTTAATTAAGGGGTATTGGAGTCTCTGGGTGACCCTCACGAAAGCCCGGTGACACTATCCTAAACTAGGATTGAGGGTTCAGGGGTTTTAGGGTTTAAAGGTTTTTAGGGTTGAGGCTAGGCTTTGCGTTTGTGGGTTTAATTAGGGTTTCGGGGTCGAGGGCTTCAGGGGTTTCGGGTTTTATGGTTGTTTCTCTACCTTACTACTGCATGATGACCGCAGTCACCATGCTAGCAGTAAGTATGGACGTACTGTAAGAACGGTTGATGATCACCAAAAGCATCTAAAACCCACAGTAGCAACACCCCGCAACCTTCGGTGGTCACATCAACAGTGGCAGCAACCAGAAGCAAAACAAAGGCAATTATCACCCTAAACCCTAAAACCTAAACCCTCAACCCTGTTGAGCACACTAAATCCTAAACCAAACCCTACAGTTCCCTAAAGGCAGCAACGATTGCAGTCCGACGCTGAGCCCGACCGATGCCCGTCTGAAGGAGATGGCCTTGAGGTTGCGAGTTTCGGCTTCGGGTTTATTTAAGGGTTCGATGGTTTAGGGTGTGTGAATCTTCGGGGCTGGGTTGACATGATTCGTCCGCAGGGCATGTTACAGCTTGTCCTTCGCGGAATGATTTCAAGTACTGTGGCCATGGACAACCGCACAACCGGTGGAGCTCATGGAAACTGTGATTGTCAAGTGATCGCGGCTGGTGGCCGGTGGTGCGCATCCAGATGGCGGACGCGGCTGACTATCACTCAGAGGGCAATGGCCGAATGGTAATTCCCAGAGACTCCAATACCCCTTAATTAAGGAATATACCTTATATAAATTATAGTAGGATCCCTACTATAATTTAAGGTATATTCCTTAATTAAGGGGTGTTGGAGTCTCTGGGATATCATCCTGGTCTGCCTGCATCAGGCTCTGCAGGATGAGCCGAGGACGTGGCCTCTTTATGAGGACATCGGAGATCCTGATGATCTTGCCCTTCAGGACTCTATGGTTTAGGGTTTAGGGTTTTCAGGGTTTAGGGTTTAGGGTTTTAGGGTTGAGGGTTTAGGGTTTAGGGCTATAGTCTTTTAGACGGCATGTTCTGCATGCAAAGCATACTTCACTATGGAAGCTCTAGGCTGTCGGCTGCATCATGCCATCAAGATCGCGCTGCGCTATGCAGTTCTACATGCGCTCGACTGCATCACTGCATTAAGAAATCGCACGTTGGCATGATGCAAGTTCTACAGTATGCGCTTTCGATCGCATCATCTGCTACATGGGTAGTTCTCTCTAAATTAGGGTCCCTTTAAGCGTCCTGCTTATAAGGGTGCCGTGCTACTATATTGGGGACTTAAAAAAGGACTCTAATTTAGAGAACCACCTACATGTTGCAAGCACCCCGCCCTATATCAACCCATGGCCAGAGCAGCCAAGACTGGAGGCTTCTGCCGCCTGGAGTTGCATAGAGTATAAGAGTCGTACCACAGCATACGGTTCAGGGTTTAGGGATTAGAGGGTGCATACTTCTACTACGACCTGGGAACGCACTGCTACCTTGGTTTGAGCTGTTCTGGTCGCATACTTTGTCGTCAGTTTGCAAACTATCTTCAGCCAGCTAAGGCGAGAAGAGTCCTATATCGCCCATGCTAGAGCTACCGCATCACACACGCAGAACTCAGTATCGTTTGCTCCCCCAAACCCTATTCAAACTATTCCCATTCCTAATCCCTAAACCCTAAACGTCGTTGTTCTACCCCAGACCCTAAACCCTAAANNCCCTAAATCCTGTAAGCCCTAAACCCCACCGTCCGTTAAGACAACTGATGACCACCTTCACGCGACCTCCTGGCAGCCCCGCAGCCCGAAACCTTGCAACCATCATCTTCAGGGTGCAGGGTTTAGGGTTCA